GACCCAAACGTGTTGCATGCGATGCATGTAGGAAGCGCCGTATCCGATGCAAACACAAAGACGAGCTTATTGATACATCGAAGCCGGGCATGCACACCATCGACCTCTCTGGCTCCTATGGCATATCTGTCAAACGCCGACTTAGCGATCACTCTGTTGCAGATAGCTTGTCAAACGCCGCCAATGGGCCAGTGAATGGCGGGCCAATCATGGCTGATGTGAATGGCGACCCTTATGCACTCAAGTCTGGCAGAGTCAAGGCTTGTGCGGACTGTAGGAAGAGCAAGCGTCGATGCATACACGATGAATACGGCAACGTCGATCCTGTCAAGGCCAACGAGATTCCCATTCCGCGGGGTTCAGCGTCAAAGAAACGAAGAGTCAGCGATGAGGACTCGGGATCGACAGCGAAGCGGATGAGACATGAATCATCATACGACGACGAATACCTGAACGGAGACATGCACGCGCGACATTCTCTTCCGAACCAGTTCAGTGGCGGTTCGTCTTTCCTCCAAGAGATGGCCTATTCCGCCCAGCAAGCGCTGGATCAAAGTCCCGAGAATGACGATCTAGTGCCAGTTGATCCTGCCCTCCAAGCATATACGAACGGCGACTACAGCCATGACGTGGCGAACTCGTACCACGCAAACGGCGATACGGTCATGTCGTCGGTTGAGTATCAGCCAACCGATCCGATGCTCATGGATGGAATGGAATCAACTGGCCGCAACGGCGAAGTCCATGGTCCTAGCATAGAGCCGCTCACGCCTGGTCCGCCACCACACAACGATACTGCGCAAACGCACACGAACGGCTTCACATCAAAGGTCGGATCAGAGCACCACGCTGTTCGCAATCCATCCTCACCCGTCTCCCCCAGACACGTCTCCGCTACATCACCCACAGCGACCAACAACAACAATCACACTTACAACCCATACATCACCTCCCCAGCCACGAACAACTACAACAACTTCACCACAAACTCTGACTTCCCTCCCCCACCCGTCACGCCCACACTCAACAACACATACAAAGCCCGTACCCAGAACTCCTCTGGTCGCAAAGCCAGTCAAACGCCCTCCCGCGCTGGCCGCAGTAGCAAAACACCCAAGTCCACACCTAGCAAGCGGCAAGAAAACGGCAATGGCAATGGCAATGGCATCAAATTGGAGCACGGCATGAGTATGGGAACAGGCATGGGCATCGGCGGAGGCATGAATGGAGGCATGAACGTCCCCATGGGCAGCATGATCAATATGATCGATCCCAATCTCGACCAAGCGAGTTTCGATCTGATCAAGCAGTTGCAACAAGAGGATCTGGGATTACGAAGGCGGAGTCGTTGAGCAAACTACACCACACCACACCATTTCTTGGCACTACTTCACTATCATTGGAGATGTTCTCCTCCCTTTTCTTTGAGTTTTCCACATCATTTTCTGTTCTGTCTTGTCTTGCATCAATTCGGTCAACGGCGTTCGAACATGTCCAACGTATGGGGACAACGGAACTTGCGCGGCGTTTAACTACTTCCTTGTTAGGAGGCTTTTGCTTATACCCAACTATCTGACACTGGGATAGTGTACATTGCACGTCATTTTTTTCTTGTTTTCCGTGTTACGTAGTCGATGGAGGGGAGAGGGGAGGAGAGTCAAGGCGTTTTTGACACCCAGTCAGCCAGCATGGAATGCGGCTCTTTCCTTTTTCAGTTATTAGCTCGGTCTTGGGGGTTGCATGCATAGTATCATAGATAATGGTGACTAGTCGCGTATGATTTGGTAATGCAAATGCACACCTGTTCACAAAATGTTCTCCCTGCCTACATCGTGAGAGAAATGCTCTGATATTCCGTTATTTCATTGGACATGTCTAAGTCGTGATTTGAGTGACCTGCTACACCATGGCATTCATGTGCCATTTCAGACCTACTCCACGCCGTGTCCGCGTGCCGGATCTCCTCTCCTGCTCTCCTTCGCCACACTACTCCAACGCACTAGTAACGTTCGAGAACTCGCCCTTCTTCAGCTTCGTCTCCCAGAAAATCGGATTCGTATCGTTGAAACCGTGCTTGACCCAGCCGTCCTCCTTGACATGGTACAAGTTGATGAAACCACCAGAGTACGCATCGCGATGGGTGGCAGCGAGGATACTCCTCCTGCCCAGCTCGAGGGCCTCGTCGTCTTCAAGCTCGTACTTGTACTGTGCGTCGAGCACACCATAGGCGAATGTCTGTCCGGAACCGACACAGAAGAGGTTGCCGGCGAGGCGCGTGCCGTCGCTGTCGATGTAGTAGAGGGCGGGGCCTTCTTGCGGAGTTACGCCTGCGCACATTGTTCCCTGGGGAGGGGGTTAGATGTGAGAGAGGATGGAGGGGAGGTGGGAAAGACGTACCATACTCAGACCCATACCCTTGTATGAGTAGACGAGATTGGCGAGGATCTTGGAGGCTGCGGCGACGGAGATACGGCGCTTGTGGCGGAGCTCGTGGAGGCGACATTGCATTCCAAGGTATGCGAGCCAGTATTGGCAGTCCTATCGCATGTCAATACTCCGCTTCTCTTCAGACTCCTTCTAGTGTTTGTCCTGTACGTACAGCAGCGCCACCAGCCATGGTTCCCAACAAGCAGTTGTTGATCTCAATGACCTTCTTGACCGTCTGACTGGCTATCCAGTTTCCAGCCGTCGCACGCGAATCGGTGGCTACGATGATGCCGCCCTTGAAGCGGAAGGCGAGGGTTGTGGTTCCGTGGGCGATCTTGATGGGGCAGTTCGGGTTGGAGTAGTCGTCCGTCATTGCGCGGAGCCATGATGCTGACTATGAGGCTGTCAGTACAATCCACTCCTCATAGGTCATAGTAAAGGGTGAGCGCACCTGAGCTACTGGTGGTAGGGCAAACTTGAGAGACAGCTCTGGGGTGCCGCTGTAGAGCTGCAACTGCTCCTCCTCGGACGGGCCTTCCTCTGTATACGCCGGCCGGCTGTACTGCGATACTAATGAATCCATGGTTGCGACGGTATGTATTGGCGGGATTCAGAGGGTATCGGGAACGTGATCGAGTGGTTGGGGTGGGGTTGTTTGATTGTTTGACGTGGTGATGTGAGCTCGAAGCTCCGGCGTTGTCGGTAATGCCAAGACATAGCCGCGTCTAGCTGTTGCCTTCACCAGTCCGGCGGATCAGCGCCGATGACCTACACCACAACCTGCGCACTTTCGAGCTGTCTTTGCGCGTAGACTCTGCTATGGGTGATGAGCCTATCGCTTACTTTGTTCCTTGCCATGGCTACGTCTTCCTCTCTACTACTGACCTCCCAGTGATCGCCACTCATACGAGCAGCTATGCTCAGTACCGCGCGCCTGGCGTGCGTCATCGCCATTTATCGCAATAGCATCTGCTCCATTTGACCAAAGAGAAGGAACGCGATCATCCTCGCAGGCACGCGCATGCGCAGAGAGTGTAGAGATATTTGCACTCATGCCGTTACACACAGCGACGGAACAGCGTGGCGCAGACGCATCGCAAGAGAAGGAAATGCCATCGGAAGGACTATTGCACGACCTTATTACATCTCTACATACGTCATCAGGTCCTACAAGCTCCCGCATCGCGCAAGTCAGGAACGAGCGTTGGGGCTCAAGCGTCACATGCCGCTCGTTGAGACTTGAGGTCAGGCAAGACATGGCGCCGACCCACGCGCGCATCTCGCACCCATGTCAGCCTCAGTCACTCGCCCAGCGGACTTGAACACATGTTTGCATTGCCTATATGCAGGCACCAGCAACAATCATGCAGGCACCGTTTTCACTCACTCTGTCTCATTTGTCCTCTCACGTATAAGCATACGTGCGGCCCGCGTGCAGGTCCGGCGCAGCGTGCGTGATGGTAGCGAATGATCGTCGAGGGCAACAGTATATACATAGGTGGCCGCCATCAAGAGAAGGAGTGCGGAAGGATCTGATCATATGTACATTGTGTGTCAGCCATAGGATAAAGTACCGCCTTCACCCCATTGTCTGCTCTTCTTTCAAGTCTTCTGAATGCCCCGTTACGACACTACACCTTATTCGTACTATCAACCTTCGCGACCACCTTCAACTTACATCCCATCTTTTTCACACACTGCTTACCATCGTATCGCCCCGCCCACACGACTCCACCCCTTGCCCGCGCGCATCGATTCCGGCGTTGATCTCTCCTCGCCGCGCACCAGAAATGTGCTGGTTCACCCTCACACCAGCCAAAGGCAAAAAGCAACAGCGCCCTTCTACCGACTCTTCATGTGCGGAGGAACTCGTTCGCGTTCGCCGTAGCCCAGCGTCACCCCGGTTCAGCGACGTCCGCGTCAGAGTACCGAGTATGAGCCTCGAGGTGGAGGAAGGAGGTGGTCAAGATCACGCGCACTTCGACGCGCACCTGAACCACCACCACAGACACCCTCATCTACATCCACTACTCATGCATCCGATTCATGGTCACAGCCACCACCACCACGGACTCGGCATAGTCGACATCAAAGAAGGCCACCTCCGCGGCTCGGGCAGGAAACGCAGCATCTCATCCCCCTGTCCTCCACCTCCAACCCGCGAACCATCACGTTGCCCACCACCATCCCGCCCCCGCGAACCCACCTATCACACCCAAATCGTCGAGCCTAGGGTATCAACAACCACAGTCCGGGAAAACACCCGCACAGCCCTCCGCAACGTCCAACAAGAGCGGACCCGAGGAACCTTACGCAGAGTAGCCGGTTACGAAGCCTTGAGCAAGAGCATGCCGTGGGATTGGGATTGCGTGAGTAGTACTGTAGGGAGTAGTGCGAGTGGGGGTGGGAGGTGGATGAGGAGGAGGAAACCGAGTGGGTTGAAGTATCCGCCGTTTGGGAGTATGGATCGTTGGCTTTGACGCATTTTCTTATGTTTGGGTCTTGTGTTGGAGTTTGAGGTTGGAGCGAGTAGTCTTAATGATTGTGTTATGTTATATACCCTGCCCTCAATTTCATACCCTCTTCTCGATGTATACTGGCCATGAATGCGGGACAACCGTGAAGTAGGCTTTCCACTGCCAGTCTTGCGTAGGGTCTACTTGCTTGATCTTGTAGTCTCTGACTAACGTCGCTGCGATCTTCGCGAGTTCAATCTTAGCGATGTTTTGGCCTGGACAGCCGCTGTAACCTGCACCAAACTACGGAGACAGTCAGCATGCACACAAAGATGCTGTTGTGCAATCAGTACGGAGACAGATATAACCTACAGGTATCCAATACTTCTCCTTCGTAGTGCTATCCTCTGCTAACCAGCGATCTGGATTGAACACATGCGCATCGGCACCCCAAATCTCCTTCGAGTAGTGCATCGCCCATGCTGTAGTTTGATGTCAGCATGGTCAATAAAGCATATTATCGAAGTTCCTTCACTTACGATTGATTGATACGATCGTATTCTCGGGTATAGTGCGATCGCCAAACGTCAAGCCTCCCTTAGGCGCTATACGCGGAAGACCCATAGGCACTGGACCGAAGATGCGAAGCGCTTCTTTTACGCAAGCTTGTACGAAACTGCTCGATATCAGCTTCACATCACTTCAGATCGCGAGGCTTAAAGGAATGTTCTTACACAAGCTGCTGTGTATCAGCATAAGATACCACCCGATCCCCGCACAACCCCTTCTCTACTGCTTTCACAACCTCCCCATGCGCTCGCTCCCACGCGTTCTCATGCCGAATCATATGATAAATAAAAGACTGTATCCCCGCAGCCACCGTATCCGACCCGGCTCCCACAGCTGCAAGCGCCTGCGTACCAATCTCGCGTATAGTAAACTTATCCGGATGCTTCTCGTGCTGCTTAAACCAGTACTGAACAGCATCATACCTTACATTCTCATTCTTCTCTCGATCGGCTAACACAGACGTGACAGTATCGAAGAGGTGGCCCATAGGTAAGATGGACAACCATGTCATAATGGGGTTCGCCAACAGGGCGATGTTGATCCAGCGAGAGTAACCTGCTACAGCGATATACGCGTTGAGGGCTAGGGAATTTGAGATGGAGTTATCGATGTCTTTGCCTTGGGCGAGGAAGCCGAAGGGTTTGGAGAAGACGATTTCGCCGATTACGTCGAAGGTTAGGTAGGAGATGTAGGTGTTGAGATGCATTGGTTTTTTCGCGGATGCGTATTTGTCCATCCAGTCGAGGAAGGATTCGAAGGTACGGTCAATGTGCTCTTCGGAGCGGAGGAGGTTGGAGACGGTATATGCTGCGGCTATGTATTTTGATTTCTCGATCTTCTTCTTGGGGTCGGTGGTGCTCATGGGTGATTGGAAGCGGTAGTCTGGTAGAGCATGGATTTTGTACCAGTTTGCCTGGTATTCATGTGAGTCGTCTCGTAGATCAGTGTGCCTTTGGAAGTAGTACCTTGTGTAGAGGAGCTACGAGGATCTTCGCAATGGCATCTGGATGGCTAACGCTGACTTCGTCGTATGATATACGAACGAAGTGACCTAGAAGGACTGTGAGCAAACTATCGATAACCAGCGCTTCTGCATATCTGATACACTTACCATGCTGTTCATGCAAGCTTATGAGTTCGAGGTTTTGATCGCCTTTTAGGATCCGATGCATATGCCAAAGGCGAGTATAAGAAGCAGCAAATGGCCCTGGAATATCGCTGATTGCGGAGAAGTACCGACGCCATGTAAGTAGAGTCAAGAGACTGATGCTTGCAATCGAAGTGACTAAACCCCAGTCCATGTTGATTCCGCCGAGACGACTGATGTCGGAATGAGCTTGATCTGTATCGCGGGAAGATATGCGGCGTGGCACATGAGTGGGATGAAAGGATTCGAGCCTTGCATACTTTTGGAGTAGCGGGATGCGGCTTTAACCCAATCGGGCTTTTAGCGACATGCAGTTCGAGATGGCATAGATTACGGGCCGTTAGCGCGGGTGAGGATGGGAACCTAAAGTTTCCCATTGATACGCGGCTTGATACACTACAATACTGAGTAACTCAATACAGGAGTGAATCGCTATGCCGAGCTATATGTACTAAGCCTCAACTCGGCTCCAACGCAAGCTTTCGGACGTATGTCTTGAAGGAGCTATAATCGGTGTATGTCGCACATCCAGTTCAGTCGTCACAATGATTGAGTTCTGCCGGGAAGACTTCACAGAGGTAGACTGCGACTCCCCTAATCCGAAAATCGGTGGACCTGGTTGTTTGCCTAATCCTTCCACAAGCTCCACTTGCGACTCGTTGCCAGTCAAGCCCTGCTCTAGCCTCGTTATAGTTCCCATAGAAGCGCGCTTATTTCTGAGTCCTCGGCGCATCGATGAGAGATGATATGGCTTTTCGTTCGATCGCTCATAGCTGCCCGCAGAGCTGTATTTGCCTCTGACCTTACCCCAAAGTGCTTTCATCGCGGGTAAATTCGCCGCAACGATCGCACATTGAACCTCGAATGATGCCACGATTATCATCTTCCCCACGTCTGTTGATAGGTCTGTCTTCATCGTGGATACCGATATGAGGATGGGTAGGCGGATGATTGCGACTGTAACCGAGATGATGCCGAAGGCGAGGACGGAGACGACGGTGACTTTGCGGCGTAAATTCATCTGGAGGGTCAAAACGGAGGGTATCGGGAGGCAGACAATGTAGAGGTCCATGAAGATGTTCTAAAAGCAACATTTTTCAGTATGCGCGCAAAGTGTGGTGGCTGAGTGCAGGTAGCCAATACGTACAAGAATAGGTGGAGTAAGCATCATGACACGCATATCGATGCATGTAACCTCGGGATGCGACATGGGGTTGAGAATCTTCTCAAACGGTATACATTGTAGGACCGTCAAGAGTCTAGATGCCGTCAGCGTGCGGCCGTATGGACAGCGGATATCACTTGACTTACAAGCTGGAGAGGAAAACCGAGAACGCGAGCGCGAATCCAAGATATACAAATCCGCGGAACGTCTGGCCAACAGAAAGCCGGAGATAGAACAAGAGAAAGGTCATCTTGATGACGGAGTGCGCGCCATAGATCACGATCTCTTCGATAAATGATATCTGCGTGCTTCCTTAGTCCTTCTATCTCTCACGAGAAAGGTGGTGGAGAGCGTACCCGAAGAAGATCGAGCGATTGGAAACTACAATTAACGTTGCCTGGTCTGTTGAAATCAATTATAAGTCTTCGCACAATCTCAGAAGATCAACACCAAACTTACTTGCCACAGCCCAGGTTCAGAAACAGCTGCAGAACAACTTGATGAACAATACTGACGACCTGAGGGAATAAGCAAATGTAGAGACATCGCAAAGCTGGTCATGTTTTACCAGCACAAGACACGAAGCTGTATCATCCCAACCCCATGATCTCAAGACTAGTGCGCGAGAGTAGAATCGGGCGACCGAAGACAGCAAGCCGATTGCGAAAGTAACGTAGGCGACAACATACGCCCACTCGAAGAGGCTGAGCACCATACTGAAGCTGTAGGGTGGGAACTACTGCTGGAGGAGAAGGATGAACGCGCAACTCCACACGGCAGAAACAAAGGAGATGCATCTTAGATCCAACTGCGCGAAGATCAAACCTCCACCCTACACGATGCCCGAAACAGCGTTCACGCATCGACACGATGCAAAAAATCTTTATCGCGTCTCATCTGGCTCGCTGATTTGCCTGACGCACCGGGAATGCGCGCCACGGCACGACGTGCGGCGCAATTAAAGCCGGACCTGGTATAGCCATGTGTATTGTACCCCATCTCAGGGGAGACGAATGTTGATCTTATGTCGTTATGGCGGCAATCTAGATGGCGTGCGTGCTCAGGACGCGAAGAGGTACAGGCTGAGGAGCGCGGTTGAGGCCGCGAGGGGGTGACGAGCTATTCAACGGTCCTGCCGCCTTGGCAAAGTACACGCCAGGTGGTACTGTCGTCGGGTAACTTGTTCATGATCGCGAATTGGGTGATTTGGGGGGTTTAGGAGATTTGCAGGAGAATTGGAGATGTTGGAGGGTGAGGCGTGGAGGTGTGGCTAGTCAGCAAACGTCAGAAGGGTCCAAGCAATGACTAGGAAGGCACGTCATGGCGACGCATTTGCATTAACACTTAGTAATAGCGACGGCACGTAAAGGTACCGAGGTATGGACATGCCACAACACAAAATTTTGCGAAAACCATCGACACAATGCGAACGATAGTCGCCCAAAAGACTAGATTACGGATGCACACTTCCTCGATTACACATCCTTCACAAAGCCAACCTCAATAACCTTATCCATAGGAACATCCAAACTCGCAATCTTCGCTCTCGAATTATCCCGAATGAACAAGAAAGCCTTCAAAAAGAATCGTCGAACGATGTTCGCACCGACCTTAACCTTCATCTGCTCTTTACCAATGATGTACAATACTTCACGGTTGTACGCACGTTCAAGGGCTTCCAGACGGGCAGAAGTAGTTGAGCTGCGCGTTGGAGTTGATATGCCACTCCCAGCAACAGTCTCGGTAACCATGGTCTTCTCAGGCTGGGCGCCGGTAGCTTTGGCTGATATTTCACCATCGCGCTCCAGAGCCCGTGCGACGATGTGGTTGCGGACTTTCTCGTAGATCAAGGATGCTAGATCTGGGGTGATGACTTCGTCCATGTAGCCGTGACGGACTACTAGTCGGTAGCAGTTTGGGACGGCGAGTCGCGAAACACTGTATCGGTTCTCTGGAGCGACGAAGGGTACTTCTAGCGGCCGAAGATGGAAGAAGACGATGACCTCGGGGATGGTGACTAGTTTGCGGATGAACTGACTGAAGACTATAGGAGTTGTCTCGCCGGCTTTGTCGAAGAAGATGCCGAAACCTTCCATGGTTCCAACAGATTTGCTGCCATACTGCTCGGTCAGCTCTAGGTGGCCGTCTGGCAGGGTCTTTACGAAGTGCGTCGTTGGGAAACGATCGCTAGCTTCCGCGCCCCATTGTTGCTCCTTCCCGAATCGCCAGAGGATGAATATGGATCCGAGGAGGCAGGCAAGAAGAATGGTGAACCAGGCGCCGTCGGGTACTTTAGTCAGTGCCGATGACAGGTAGGTACCATCCAAACAAGCGATAGTGAGCCAAGGAAGAAGCACAAAGTATGGCTTGATGCGCCACACCAAGATCGCAACGAGTGTAACCATGCACGTGTCAAAGAACGTGACGAACATGACGCATACACCGTAGGCGTTACCCAAGGATGTTGTGTTGTTGTAGATCGCAGCGACAAGTACAGTGCCAATCATCAGTAGCCAGTTGATGCTAGGGATATACAGTTGTCCGTGATACGTTGTCGAAGTGTGAACGACCTTGATCTGCGGGAAGTACGAAAGCTTCATGATCTGGGTCAGGAGCTGGAACGTCGCCGTAATCATGGCCTGAGACGCGACGATGGCAGCAGCGATGGCTACAATAAGCGAGAAGATGAGCCATCCTGGCGGAGCGCAGTTGTAGAAGGGGTTGGAGTATGCTTCCGGGTGCACACTGATGTAGGCAGCTTGACCACTGTAGGCAAGCAGTAAACAAGGGTACGCGTATCCGAGCCAACTGATCTGTACAGCACGGCGACTGAAGGCACCGATATCTGCGAACAGAGCTTCGACGCCTGTAAAGGCCAGGAGTATACCGCCGAGACTGCGCCAGCCTTCGTATTTGTTCCGTATGAGGTAGTCGAATGCGTAGAAAGGATTGAAAGCTTTTAGGATCGCGTAGTCATAGCTGTAGTCGTCAGCCAAGAGCACTTAGGAAGTCATAAGAACGCATACTTGGCAAGGTTGTATATTCCGAATCCAGCGTTCAAAGCCAGCCATATGATGACGATGGGCGAGAAGACAAACGTTAATTTCGTAACACCAAGCGGCTGCACGACGAACAGCAGAACGAGGATGGCGCATGTGACACCGATGATGGTGGACTTCTCGATGTCAGGCTTGACGACATTGAGACCTTGAACGGCACCCAAGACGGATTGAGCTGGAGTCAGAACACCATCAGCCATGACCATCGATACGGCTAGTACACCGATGACCTGCAGTAGGCCGCGAAAGAATTTGGACTTTTCAATGGTCGAGCGAATATTCCTTGTGGATCGGCCCAGAGTATCGGTATTGTGTCTCTCCATTCCTGCATGAAGGTCAGTATGGGGAGATCTAAGGCATGATGCACACTCACGAATTAGGGTTGCTTCGCGTGGATCTCTGTTAGCGATGTTTGCCTGCATACATCAGTGACTGAAGATCTCACGCAGATTGATTGACGTACATATCTGGATAGAAGAGAGTATGTGCTAAAAGTTCCGCCCTCTCCATCGTTGTCGGCGCGGAGGATGATCAAGACGTACTTGACCGTCACCATCAAGGTGACAGACCAAAGTATGAGCGAAAGGGCACCGAGCAGATTGATGCGACTAGGCGCCTCCGTGAACGTCGAAGAGTAAACATACAGCGGTGATGTTCCAATATCGCCATAGATGACACCGGTGGATTGGTATGCAAGGACGAGGATCTGTGTCAGACTGAAGACCTGCGTCGCGTCAGTGAGCTGGATCACACCGCGACATGTGCCTCCTTACCTGACTGCGCTTAAAATCGCGCTCATCACGCAGACCTGCATCTTCGTCTTCCGCGTCTTCCAGTTCGCTGATCTTCGCATCAACCGAAGTCCGATTCGCATGCGACTTGGTGCGTGAGCGCATAGGATATACTCCGCCCACGGACTGCGACGATCGAACTGGATGCAGGTCTGCATCTGCAAAGTGTATTGAGGTATCCATACCAGGCTGTCGGTGGTGTACGCAAAGACAGTAAAGCAGTCTCGCAGGACTTATACCATCCCGTTATCTGGCCGCAACTGTGCCTGTCTGACAATCTCATCTGGTAACAAGCTCTACCGCTGACGAAAAGCTTTGGTTGGCTCTTAGCCTTGGTGCTTATCGTGAGAACGGAATGCCCACGTGTAGTTAGCTGCTTCATTGTTTAGGCAGGATGGCGCAGCACTGCGGGATTTTCGTGAGCGTCGGCGCGCGGGGATGTGACTTGCAGCGCTTGCTTTTCGGCGCCGCAACGCCCTTGATGCAATGTCGCGGGCTCGTAAATCGCGCATCCCGTGAAGACTTGCCAGGAGTAATGGCTAAAAGCAGGCTTTGGTCCTCAGCTCGGTGAGGAAGCACATAATGCATGGGCAGTCGAAAGAGTGCAGTGTGGTCGGTCACAGTGGTGACGAGCGATGACCAGTCGCCATCGTCAGAGGTCGAGCTTTGCATCGTGCAGACTTCATGCACGAGTATCAGCTGAAGGTTGGCGGGGTGTGGGATGCCTTCGTGTATCGGGCAACTGCACCCTGAGAGATGATTGCAGCTAAAATCGTCTCGAGCCAATCAGCGAGGGTCGCTAATGCCTGAGCGGGTCACCCCGCTAATGCTTGGTCTGACCTTCACACCTCGCAGCCCGTGGGGTCTCGACCGCGCGTCCGGCACTCCTCGACAGGCGCTTCAGTGCCAGCTCTACATCGTTCCTTGGTAGCGCTACTTTGCAAGCGCCCGTCGCGGCTCGTGTCTACAAATTTTCTCCATGTCAAAGGCCCGAAAACACGGATACGATCATAACAGCGCATGGCTTAGCTAGCGGTGCCGTTGGTTTAGCAAAGCGTACCTGCATCTAGAAGCCGGTCATGTCGTTGGCACGGTGTGCCAATCTTCAACTTGTGTGGACGCAATAGCCGCCGTATACTTGAACCCCATCATCATGATTGCTTTCCAGTTTCTGCAGGCTGGACCCGAAGTGAAAATCGAGAGCCTCATGGAACGCGGCGGCTTTCTCGACACAAATCGTGCAAGTTTGGGAAAGGGAAGAGAATCTGGTACGATATCGACGTTCCTCAACACGTGATCGGCGCGTAGGGTTCCCTCGCGACGTATAAAATGTCACCCATGCGTTCTCTCTCTTTCTCTTTATCTCACTTCTCAAGATTTATGAAGTATTCAAAAAACACAGAGTTCTTTTCGATGCTCTGAGAACAAGATGATTACAAAGTCATGTCTGCTCGTGCGCCTGCCCTCTTTTCCGAAATACCAAAAAGCTCATCCTGTCCTGCCATGAGCTGCCGTCTGCCACTTCCACCTCTACTTAATCCGCGTTTAATCCAAAACAAAGCTCCTACATCTTATGTTGCTTTCTTCTTCCAAACAAGATGTTGAATGCGTGGATGGAGGAGCAGAATTCGTAGAACTAAAGATATGTAAAAGAAATAAGCTGCGGAATAGCATATGTCTGTGTCTCTGAGCGATTCGGAATATTCAAAAGGTCTGCACCTATACCTATGAGATTCTCGGCAGAAAGAGCTGGCCGACACTTTTATGTCCGACTCTGGAAATAAAAGGCAAATACACAAGTGCCATGGTCGTTCAAGCTCTTGCTGTGTTCTAAAATTGCCTCATCACAATACGATGTCTCTGTCATCCTCGTATCCACGATATATGAAATCCCTTCTTCGCCCAGTTCTCACCTCTTATCTTTCCACCACGCTTATCTTGCGCAATTTCGAAAAGCATAGAGCAAGGAGCAATGTGTTCCAAAAAGATCAAGGGAACAGAATCATGTTCTGTCTCCGCTCTTCCTGGCCTTTGAAAACATTTCAAAACTACAAAATACCAACGCATGTGAACCGAAATACCTCCCACTATCGTTGGATGTCTTCTGCGCTCCATCATCTATTCCTACTTCCTTCACCTTATCATCAAAATTCCGAGGCGAAGTCAGTATGTGGGAGCCGTCGTTCTCAAAACCAGAACAAAACTGACCGATGGAGTCATCATGTATACTTTCCTTCCACTGGGAACACGCAAAAATAACAGACGAAGATTTCATGCGCGACTTCCGGTTGCAAAGTCAAAAGCTGGACTATGTATGAGCCGGCCGGGAGTTCCCAAAGATTGAGCCACAAAGTATTCATGTGTGTGGCCCTTCGGTTTTGGAACAAAACTCCGACTAGCTACATATCTGTCCTTCTAAAACGGTCTGGACGATCAGTGCATGGACTTCGGAGACAGGGTTGGGGATGTACGTGATTACATGACGCGCATATCTCTCGACGATGATGATCATCATCATCACCGACGCATACATCCTCACAAAACCGACACATAGTATATTCATCCATTGTTCTAGTATATATTCATAACAAAACACGCTCTATATGCCAAAGCAACACGGCCCAAAGCCTTGACCGACTCCCCAACTCCACATCATCACCGGGTATACCACGCTCAATTCATACAAGCACTGAACATATCGCTTCATCCCAGCATCTTATTCCACGCATGCTCTATGCGCTGTGCATACACCGAAGACATCCACTTCTGAATCATGTCCTACAACTCGTCGTGCGCATCCGGCTCAGGCATCGTAATAGGCTCCGTCGGCCTACCAAGCTCAGCATCAATACTAACACCCTTCTTGGCGCGGTACTTTTCCCACACGCTCCAGAACTCCTTCTCCATGCTCTTCTCCATTTGGTCGGGGAGAACGACTACGTACTCGACGTGCAGGTCACCGTATTGTAGACCCTCGTGGGTTTCGAGTTGTTGGGCCCATACTGGCATGCCCTCCTCTTTGACGATTTCAACCATGTTAGGCTGAACGACTTCGCCGCGTTTGCGGGAGAGTTGGACAATGTGGCCGTCCAAGTGGGTGATGTTACGTGTCCAGCCGCCCATCCATGCTTCGCGGAGAGAAAGAACTTCGCGCCAGAAGAGATCCTTGCCCCGTCTCCGGAAGAATGTTCCGTCTGTGCGCTCGTGGTTTTGTTCTCCCATAGCGGGTTCGGCCTCGACGAGGTGGACAATGAGGTCGCCGGCGACGTAATCGGGGCTTTCGTCGGCTTCGTTCTCGTAGGTGATGCGTACGCCCTTTGGCATGCCCTTCTCAATCTCGAGATCGTGGGATTCGGCTTCGCGGATGACTCTACTGCCGTGGCAGACGGGACAGGGCTTCTTGATCGTCTTTCCTTTGCCGTGACATTGGTCGCAGTGTACCTGCACCTGCTGGAACAGGCCGGGCGCGAGTTGCTGTCGCTGGATCCTGATACCACGTCCACCGCATGTACCACAAGTCTCCACGTGTCCATCCTCCGAGCCTGAACCCTCGCAGGCTGAGCAAATCGCTTGCTTCTCGATTGTGAACTCCGTCTTTCGGCCGTTGTAGAAGTCGCGCAGGGGAAGTGCAACCCGTACTTCCATGTTTGGTCCTCGTCGTTCTCCGCCCTGGTGTCCAAAGTGTCCTGAGCCGCCGAAGAAGCGCGAGAAGAGGTCGAAGGGATCGTGCTGGCGTGGACCACCGCCTTCCTTGTGTTGCTTGATGCCATCGTGGCCGTATTGATCGTAGATCTTACGCATCTCTTTCTTGCTGAGGACCTCGTAGGCTTCGGCTATCTCGACAAACTTCCCACTTGCCTCATCGTCGCCACTGTTAAACGTTAGAGGCGTGAGCTGATATGATGGGTTCACGAACGTACGGGTTCTTGTCTGGGTGGTACTTCTTGCTGAGGGTTCGATAGGCTTTCTTGATCTCGCGCTCCGAGGCATCTTTCTTCAGGCCTAGTAGCTACAGTATCATGTTAGCAAGTGCGCTTCAACTTGCAACTGAGGCGAAAGTACAAATGTGTACAGATGACGCTTTTACATACCTTGTAGTAGTCCTCTGCACCGACAACGATCAGCGCCAGGAAGGCGACCAAAAAGAACAGCGCTAACCGTGGGAGCATTTTGTCCTGTTAGTTGCGCCAACAGCGGTGTTGGAGTTGCGAAAGTGAGTGGACGGAATAAAAGTATCCGAGATAAATGCAGGAGCAAGATTCTACATGGGGTTCGCGTGTGAAACTCAGGTACGAGCGACCCCGAAAAGAAAGAATTGGGAGAGTGAAAGCGGGAGGGCGACTTGGAATGTGAAAGTGGATGTTGCGAATGGGACACGATAGCAGTAACGTAGATTATGCGGCCAATCGGAGTTAAGCCTTGGCATTACCGACTTCACTTTTCATGCGAAGCATTTCCCACGCGACGACGATCAATTGAGGCTGCACCACCCCATACGCCTCCGACACGCGATTAGATAACTTACAAGGACGCATTGAGTTGACGTCTCCATATACATATCCTCAGGTCGACCTTGGCGTGCGCAGCCCGCGCTAGCAAACCTCCGCAAGACCTCCGCAACCACCGCACACCTACCACGCCTCGACCCGACACCCACCACCGCCCACCATGGCGTCGATAGCGACCAAGGCGATAGCCGGAAAACCGATTTTACCGCCATGCTTCACAAGTCAGAAAGTCGGCGTTGTAGTTTCAGCAGGCAAGATGGCGAGGGCAGTACGAGTGCGCGTCGCAGAACACGAATGGAATAAGAAGTTCAGGAAGGTGTGTTGGCACGACAATCGCACATTCGCCCATAGCATTGCTGACGAATGAACCAGCACTTCCCAGCCCCAAAAACATACATAGCCCGCGACCCCAACAACTCCGTCGTCGAAGGAGACATTGTGCGCATAACATCCGGCTACCGCACCTCCAAAGTAATCCGCCACGTCGTAACCTCCATCGTCGCGCCCTTTGGCGAGCCCGTCGAAAACCGACCCCCAGTCCTCACCCAAGCACAACTCGACGAACAGCGCATCAAGGAGCGGTTATTGAAGGACGTACGGTCAGCGGAGCGGGGCAGGCAAGCGAGTATCCAAAGACTGGCGCTGGCGCGGAAACAAGGCTTAACAATACCCACA